GGGGGGGGGAAAAAAAAAAAAAAAGGGAAAAACAAAAAAAAAGGGGGCAACGGGGGGGGCCCCCCCCCCCCCCCCCCCCCCCCCCCCCCCTGTATACCAATGGCAGGATATGTGCCGTTGGCTTCGAGTCGTGTCCATTGGATCAACGGAAGACCGATGAGCCACAGCAAGCCATCCGCAGGGGACGGTGAGACTTGCTGCTTGATTCTCCATTTTATGATGACGGTGCCCACGGTGCTCTCCTGGCCAGCGCATGGGCACATCGGCCACCTCATTTCTCTCCAAGGCCTGTCTCTTTGGCGCCGGTTGCCTGCTGCTTGCGCTGGCCTCCACCAGTGGCATTCGATGTGCGAGTCTAAATTTCCAGAAGCAAAACAGTTTGCTGTTTCCATATATATATTCTTAAAATATGGAAAAATTGCGCCACATGAAAATCTAATATCCGGTACTCCATCCCAAGTTGAATATGTGATGACATGCCTCTGCATGCAAATGAAGTTATCCAATAGATTTGTTCAATTGCATCGCAAACCGCCTCCTCTCGTCGCCGTGAGCCCGGCCGCCTTCCACCGCCATTTTCCCATTTTACGGGAGTGGTCCCTACGCCCCAGGTCAGAGGTTGGAGCACCTGTCAAATATCCTCCACATGTGCTCATATTGCACGATGTACCCAATCCTTATTAATGCTTACGGTACTTCCACGTCTCTACTTATATCCTCGACCCTGTGTTGGCCTGTATACATTATAGTCTAGTCTCACCAACGCCTCCCACTCCCCCACAGCTCGCACCCTTGGCGTCCAAACCCCGATACCAACCCAATTACCAACCTAATTCCCCATGGCTTCCTCCGCTTTCGTCACCGCTCTCCCGGCAACCTTCCGATCTACCCGGCGTCGGGTTGCCGACGGTCCCACCGCTCGCCACAACAGAAGTACAGTCCGCGCCACTGCCCACCAACCCCCATCCTCCGGTGAGGGCCTCCCGGACAACGAATCCCTGAAGCATTCTCGCGCCGCTCTCGAGAAAATGCTCGGCCTCGAGCTGAAAGTGCAGGACGAAAAGAAAGGTCAATGTGCTTGCATTTGGTGTTCGGGGACCAAGAAGAGGAAATGCAGTTGGTGTGACGGCAAGGGCTGCAGACAAGAAATGGCCCAGAAGTCGTGGGAAGAATTATCTACTGACATTGAGAAAATGACCCAAGGGGACAACCAGTTTATGGAGCTCCCAGAAAAGATTCTCGTTCAGTGCTCCGCCTGCTCAGGTACAAAACAACTGAGGTGCGGCTATTGCCGCGGCAGTGGCATCGGGTCTTATGGTCATGCGCATTAACAACATTGGACTCTAATGTGGCGAGTTTGCCGACAAGTGCAGCTCGCTTTTTTTGTGTAAAAAAGCTTGACTTGGGTTTATTATTGTTCAATATTCTGAGAAAAGGCCAAACATGTATTCTTGAGGTGCCAACATGTCAAAAGCCTCCTGGATTTAGCAAATCCCTCTTTCTGCCGACGCAGATTACAAATGTTCTCCTAGTCAATGCCGACCGGGGAGATCTTCGGCTTTAGTAATTGTGCTAATTAGTTTTTCATCATTAAATCTCGTGTAACAACACTCATTGGGATATCGCAATTTCACAAATCCTTTCCTTCTTCTAATCTCGGCAGGCGGGAGGAGTGGGAAAGTGCTGTCCTTCGAATCTCAGAGAGAGGCACATACTCAAAAGGGTCTCGCCACCCTATTATGTCATGCTCGTCGAAGATTGGCAGTGAATCGGACAGGAGCGGGGAATGCCTCAGGTGAGCAGAACGTGTAGCTGGTCCTGTAGTCAAATTCAGTCTTAAAGCATTGCAGCAGTAAGGCATCTGTGAGGGTGTTTTTCGTTTGGTGAAAATATATAATTCTGGGCTGCATGTGCGCTTTGCAAGGACAGCACGTCACACTACTGTAGATGCCAACCTTCACTTCGACGTTTGCATCCAGTGTTGACGTGTTGTCAACAACTGCAATGCTGCAGTCAGAGCCAGGTGAGAACCTATACTGGAGGTCATTTGCACACAAATGACAACAAGAAATGTCGACGTCGAAAACGAAGACGACGACGACGACGACGACGACGACGACGACGACGACGACGACACCGACGACACCGACGACACTGACAACGACAGATACATCTTTGACATTGAAAGTCCCATGGAAGCCATTTCTAGCTAGCGTTCATGCCATTTGGAAAGCTAACGCAGCGTGAATCCAAACACGAGCCCATCATTAGGTAGAAAAAAATATCTTGAGAATGGACTCATGACGTGAAACAGAGTCTCAAGCATAGGAAACGGTCAGAAGCGGGACGCAATCTCGATACGGAAACTTTTAGGTGTCGGAACTCGCGCATGTATCTTCAATACCCGCTACCTGTCGTGCTGAGAGTCGTTGTCGCGGAAGGCATTGGATCATCTAGCGTTAGACTGTGTTGAAACCTGTTTTTTGCATATCTGAACGACCCGTGGAAGGCTTGGGTCAATTGTTTACCGCCTCTCCGTGGCATCCTTCACATGTGTCCTTCGCGAGGAAAAGACAGTCGCCTCTCATTATCGCCTCCTGTGTTTTGACTTTAAAGCATTAACCAGGTAGCAGGTATACTCACCATGCATGAAGGGGTGAGCCGCACTTGAGATTTCCTGATTTTGAAGCGATGACTCCTCTCTGTAGAAGGAATTTTTTGCGCTCTAAAGAAATCCGTGTCGTAGCGTAGAGTGCGCGCAGTGGTCTTCTCTTTTCGTTGTTTTGCTCGTCGGCCATAACCTCGTAGAGTGCATTCGCCCAGTTGAACGCGTTTAAAGAGGGGGCGTATCCAACGTGGCGGGGCTATCAAGCAAAGCTGCGGTACGCAATGGACTTGAGTTCCTAAAGGGCCGTGAGGCGAGTGTATAATGAAGGTGTGCCGTTGCACCTGACGCGGACGTCGGTTGGTGTTCGCAGAATGACGGGTGCTGCTATGAGAGCGGGTGTGACGCCAAGCGTCTCTGGGACCAATCAAGACGCGGCTTTCCTGTGCACTCTTGCGCTGGTCGCCAAAAAATTGAGATATTCGTCATCGAGATAATTGAGATGCCAGCGCCCGCAAGCAACGGAAAATCTCACATTCCATGCAAATTTCACACACTCTCCCATTACTGTACCGATATTCACGCCTTACTGTGCAAACGCACGTATGCCGCAAAGCCCTTTCCATTCCCCACCCCCGCCCCGTCTCTCCTCTTCGCTTTCGCATACGCCCTCCCCCCCCGCCCCTCACCGCTCACCTATCGTACCTGCACCTTTCTGCCCCAACCCCCGCTTCCTGATGTCCCGTCGCACCGCTCCGGCGTTTTCGGACACCCTGCGCTGGAACTCATTTAATAGTGCGCGACGGCACTCCCACGGCCACTCGTTCCTTCCGCGGCGTCTCGATGCCGCCCACGTCAAGCCATCCTCACACGCCCTCAGATCTTCCCTTTTCGAGGCTCTAGACCAAGCCCGCTTCGACCAAGTCCGCCGCGCCATTTCCGCCTCCCCAGATGCTCTCCTCGCCACCTCGACTCCTCGCACAGCCCTCGCCGTCAACGCCTCGTCGGAAACCCTCTCCGTCGTTGAATACGCCCTCAACAATTGCCGAACATGGCTCGCCCTCATCCAACATTGCCAGCGTACCGGTATAGCCACCTCCTCCACCATTGGCGACTTTACTTTCCGTGAACGCCTCTCTTCCATGAGCTTGATCCTCGTTTGGCTCCTCTCCGTCCCAGGTGTCCCGCCACCCAAGCACTCACCACTGCACACCGCAATTTCGTGCAAGTTCGACGCCGTGTGCGCCGCCCTGCTCAAAAAATACCCCGTCCTCGCCACAAGTACCGATGCTCGAGGGAAAACCCCGCTGCACATCGCATGCGGCATGTCGTCGCAGATGTCGCCCGCGCACACCGCTGCTTACATCCGCTTACTCATCACCGCGGGAGCAGACGTCAATGCAGTGGACGTCGAACGCCGCACCCCCCTGCACGATCTCGTCGCCTCGCTCAACGTTGCCGCCCCGGCATACGGTCTCGTGCGAAGACGCCGTCTCCTGACGAGTCTGAGCAGCGTGCTCCCGACTCTGAATGAGATGCTCATCAACGGCGCAGACATGTACTTACCGGACGCCAGCGGCGACAGTGCGATGGATGTGGCGCTGGCGGGCGGGACTGATTATCTCGTCATGGCGATTCGGGCAAATTGGTTGTACGAGCGAATATGCGAGAGTGAGTATGCGGCGAGGGTTTGTGCAGAGCAGGGATCGGGAACGATTGCAGGGCTGTGGGGAACACTTCCGGAGGACGTGGTTATGAAGATACTGCGAAAGCTCTCCCCGAAGGATGCGGTTGGAGGGATTGGGGCTACTTGTCACGGGTTAAGACGGATCGCCGTGTCGAAGCATGTGTGGTTCCGGTACACGACCAATTATTCCATGGCGGTTATTAGGGAATCGCTCAGGAAGAGAACAGAGCGAGAGGAGAGCGCCGCGAGTGCGGGTTGAGGCCTTGCGGAAAGGGAAAGAACTCCATGGCAGGCTGTTGTGGAGGTGCAGTGGTTTGTATAAGTAGTGGTTGTAGTCGGCGAGTTTTTGATGACGAGTGCGGGAGCCTGGAATTTTGCTCGTCTCTCCGCTTCGCAGAGGACACGCACGCCACTTGTGGAATATCTAAAAAATGTAAACATATTTTAACGCATACTTACGTTTTTTATTTATTCAGGCCCTGCAGAAAAGGCGGGCCGAGTTCCCAAGGCATGGGTCTGCCTTACGATACACCGTGCTCTAATCAAACAGCAAAAGAGAAACTGCAACGGAGCTCGGTTAAGGGTCATAGCATGTTGTAGAAATCTTGGCGGTTTGAATTGCGCAGCCGTATTGTAGAGTAAGCATTACTGGTTGAGGCACTATTGAACCCTTCATGTCTTCCGTGGTGCCTCCCTCCATTTACGGAGATCCGGCACCTCCACGACATGCCATCTCGTGTTGAGTTTGACTCTCTCGGCTGAAGTGTGTGTGTCCATTTTGCGTGGACGCTACCAAAAAATTCACCCTCAGATTGAGACAGATCTAAGCAAGTACCGCGGCGTCTTTCTCTCGAACGAGAAACTCCTCTGAACCGCAGAAGAAAATGAGTTGCTTTGCATTTTGCTCGGCGTTTACACGTCCAATCCGGCCTAATATCAGGTTATGTCCGTCGCTTAGTTCTCTGCGAGGAGCAAAAGTTGCCTCGATATCGATGTCAAAGAAAACGTCAAAACGTGCGAAACGTGGAGAGAGCGAGAAGCAACCTGACCCCTCAACCCCACCTGCGGACGCCTCTCGGTCGACTGTATCTGCTCCGGATTTACTGAAGGCGGACGTGGAGAGGATACGTGCAAAGCGCAAGAATGCGCCCGCACAGAAAGTTGAAACAGCACCGATGAGCACTGTCAAGTCCGTGGTAGATTCTGTGCTTATTTGGAACTTTTTCTTGGTGCTGGGACTTTTAGGTTGGCTGGGCATCGCCTTAATACCACACTTTGCGTCCAAAAATGATGTGCTGCTGGACCCTTGGCTTGCGCTTTGGCAGCCCTTTATCCAACCAGTACTTGGCGTGCTTATGCTTGGCACTATTGTGCAGGGGTCGATTTCATATATCAACTCGAAGGAATGACCGGGAGCGGCAGGACTTCGCGTGGAGTCTTCCTCTTACTATATGAATTCAGGGTTAATTTGTACTTTTCATGCTTACCAGAGGAAGTTGTTCCGTATGCCATCAGGCAAGCGCAGGGCCATTCTGCGAGAGCCGTGGAAGGCATGGGTATAACAACGGCATCTGAAGTAATTTACTTTCCTGCTTGACGCAGTCGTAGTGACCCTTTTTCGAGAACCCTTCACGTTCTCTTGTCCTCTCCCGTGGCGTCAGGGCAAGTCTGCAAACGCGGAAGGAGTGTATTGTGCGGTACCTTGAAGGTACCATTTCTCCCACCTCACTCCCTGCCCCCCTCCTCTAGCCCCCCTCCTCTAGCGCTACACCAAAATACCTTCAAGGTACCCTGTTTCATGCCCGGTACTCTACTGGTGCCTTCGACTGGCATGCGCAGCTTTTGGCGTGTGACGCCTCCTGCGTGGTACTGCGCAGATCTCGATAATTTTTTTTAATTCACTTGAATTTGAGCGAGTACAAAACAGAATCGCACAAACTGTACAGTTCAATACAGTAGAGGTGTGAAAATGTCACATGGATGACCGCACCTATTACGATTTTCAACTTGAAAAGAGTGAAGCTCGCGTGGCCGTTATTAGAAACACCCATCCTTCCCGGCGACGGCTTTAACGCCCTCTGTTGCTTGCAGGTATTAGTGTTCTATGCTTATTGCTGCGACTTGAAGCGATGAAGAATGCAAAGAAAGCAAGCAAGAAAGCCAAGGCAGCTCGCATGACTGTCCCGGTCTCAGAAGCGGAGTCCGATCGCCGGCTGCGACCCGTGTTGGATGCTCTTTACAATCACAATTCGAGGCAGGCACTGAGGCATGCGCAACAGGCTCTTCAGAGGAGACCAGGGTGGCCAGCGGCTCGTGCGTTGCGTGCATGTGCGCTATTGCAAAGTGGGCATTGGGCCGCGGCAAAGGAGGAAATCGCAGAAGTCCGAGCGGATTTGGACGCTGGTCGTGTTCCCCTAGACGAGGATTGCGCAAGAAAGCTCCACATGTATTACTTGGAAGTGCGAAGGGAGGAAATTGCGGCGGAACTGTACGAACGAGTCTGGAAAACTGATCAAGCGCAGTTTCAGCCAGCAGAAATCGCATATGGTCTCTATATCAGGGGGAGTGCGTTTACCTCTGCACAGAAATTAGCGACCAAACTTCATCGAATCGCGTCTTCACAAACGCCAAAGTACGGAATGTGGGCTACAGCTGCGCTGTGGTTGGGATTGACATGCAAGTCTAGACGTAACAGAGCTGCCGAGACTTCCACATCAGATGCACAAATGTTAAAGCTAGCGAGCGCAATGCTTTCAACAGCGCTGGATGCTTCACCAACACCCTCAGCGGAAATGGTGCGGTTTTCGCTGAGGGTATACGAAGATGGAGGGAATTTTGACAAAGCACGTGAACTAGTTTCTAACCCCCGCTTGGTAATGGACGATACAGAAAAACTACAGTTGCGATCGGAGATTAAATCTGTCAAGGGCAGTCGCGAAACGGATTTACGAACGCTCATATCAGAGCATGACGCGGATGATTGGATTAACTGGATGAAGTTTTTCAATTGTGTCGAGAAAGAGGAGAACTGGAAACAACGAGTGTCGACACTGGTTAGCGAATTGAGAGCCATCGAACTCGCATCTTCTAGACCAAAGCGGGGCCCATTTTTGGCAGAACTGGAACTTCTCTGCAGATTGGAAGAATTTGAAAATCTTGCAGAAGCAATTGTACAGTTCTTTCGGCGATTTGGTTCGAAAACAGTTTGTGCCCATGATCTCCGGCCGTATCTGACGGCCATCAAGAAAACAAAATTGCTTGAAGTATCTTTCGACAAGATGTCTGCACTAGTCAGTAGCGGCACAGATGCCAGTCATCTCACTCTAGCTTGGATGCGACTCTGGTATGATCGGCTAGGAGAAAGTGAAGAAGAACTCTTCCAGCACTACACTCGACTCTTAACAGAGAAAACAGACAAAACTGAGCGCCAGGCTGGAGATGATTACCTGCTGCTGATTGCTCATAAGCTATTGCCAGAGTCTTTGGAAGGAAGTTCAAATCGCTATGCGGACGTCTCTCGAGTAGTCCGCGCAATACTCATTCTTGAAACGGGACTGTCAAAGAGCCCGTTCAATTTCCATATCAAACTGCTGTTGATGAGACTGTACAGAGAAATTGGTGCGACTCAACGAATGGCAGAGCTGTGGCAATCACTAGAAATCAAAGACATCCTTGTTCCCACATTGATACATTTAATAATGCAACCTGCCTTTGACCTAGGCCATCACGACGTCTCTCTGGGCCTACTGGAGCGTGTTGAACGCCTTTGGCGTGAGTGCGACCGGGAAGTACCGGAATGCACAAGTAAAGCGTTCAGGGCTGGGTCAATAAATGCGGCTATTGAATTCGTGCTTTTCAGAAAGCGTTTGGAGGGATCGGCTGAATTAGCGCAGTGCATGATCAGAGAAGTTTTGCACAACCTAGTGATTGCTGGAGGCGAGGGAATTGGGGTTCAGCGGGCATTCGACTGTTTAAGTCAGTTGCCTCGCTTTACCATTGACACAGTACAGGTGCCCAGAAGTTTGATAACAAATGAAGATCATGAGTGTTGGCGATTTTGGGAGCTCCACGCTGGTGAACAGCGAGGTAGAATGCAAATTCCAGACACTCTCACAGAGGAGAGGGGCGTTTTATGTCCCTTGGTGGAGCAAGAAGCTATTGCGGCAGATCTGGCGTCTCTCGAGTTGTTGGTTCGTATTGCAGTCAAAGATTTTGACTCCGACCGCACGGGACGAAGCCTCGAGGATACGGCTTCTCCGTTGAAGCGCCTTCTTGATTCAAAAGTCATTTCGGAGTTGCCTGAAACAACAGTGCTGAGAATGAAGGTCGCTTTAAACTTGCTCGAAGCTCACCAGCTGTTGCAATCCGAAAAGTCCCAAGTCCTACAGCCTGCGCCGCAGAACAACGCTTTGAAGCACAAAAAAATACTGCAAACCGCTCAATCTGCGGTGGACATGCTCCTGACGATGTCGCAGTCCGTAACTAGGACCAATGGGAAGGACCACCCCACAAACAAAACTGACGGCAAAAGTGCTGTCAGCGGATCAAATAGTGCACCGAGCGAGGCATTGCATACCGCAAGCCAGCTTAGGCAATGCGGAAGAATGGTTTTCGACACGCTGTTGGTGACATCTATGGCTGTCACTTCATTCAGTCCAGAGCTGCGCATAGGCAAGAAACGAGGGAAAAAAGCCCGTGCCAAAACAGGGGCGTCAATGGATTCGGCAGGTCTGAATAACGTCGAGTGCGCGAGGCAAGTTGTTTTGGAGTACAAAAAAGCTTTACTCTCCGCCATTTCGTCGATCTAGACTTGGCTCGCATCATGTATAGAACATGGTATTGACTTGGGATCTTCCAGCAGTGATCAGCGGCTACACGAGTTACAGCCTTTCCTTCCGAAATCTCTGCCTGTCCTGGATTTGACCGATGGGATCGTTAATTTAGGAACGGAAATGGAGCTGCCTGAATTCTGCGATAACATTCTTGCCGGGATCCGAGATAGTCACACAATAACATGCCACGTTATCCTCGAAACGCTGTTGCAGATAATGGGTCGAATGAAGCTGGTAGACCTCTGAGTTCGGGGTACTTCCCGCCACAAAAGGTTTCCTATGCGAAACCTGCTTGTCCAATCGGTTTCTATACGAGTCTGTCAAAACCGGGATGTTTCAGGGCGACGTTGTGTTGCAGCGGTAGGACTTCTTCGTCACTGGTCTTGAGTCGGGCGTCCGCTCGGAATCCCAGTGAATTCTTACCGATCTTTAATCGGGCGGCTCTGCTTATCAGCATCTACGGTTTGTTCGACTACCGAAAATTCGACCTGTTCTCTCACCCAACTTCCAAATTTACTGCTCAAAAATAGTTCCTGCAGTTTGCGCATCGGTGCTGGTAATGAGTCACCCGCGTTTTGCCGCACTTTGTCCAAGATTGGTTTTAAACCAGTTTCCATCTGCTGTCGTTTGACTGGAACTGCATCCCTCATAACCATTCCAAACTCTTCAAATGATTCGACTGCATAGCACCTCTTAATGCCATAAAACCCCGCCACGCCCATAGCCCCGCACAGCAGTGTGCCCAGACCAAATGTCGTTGCAGCAAACTTAAGGCCGTCCAGAGAGGGACGCACCTTTCTTGTTTTAATACCTTTTCCGTCCCCTTCTTGAGTCCTGCCCATTACGAGCCCGAAAGGCACACCCGCTAGCATTCCCAAAGCAAAGAGTACGCTAGAACCCACAGCGAGGGGCTTGGCCAGTGTTTCAGGAGTAAACTCGAAACCGAACCCCTCCCCTGTCTCATCAATAATGGAGAACAACTCTCCATCCGATGCGTCCTGTTTCACCAGGTCTCGTGGAGCTTCACCGTCGGGCATAGCGGGTCTTACACCGTTCTTCTCGGATCTCCAGGGTATATTGCCGCTCAGTTAAGCTCGTTCCAAATCGTATAGAGGAGGCCGGACACGTTGTCTGACGTATACCATAGACCGCAGAAGTTGCTCGAACGACCGCACGCTGTTCGCATGAGTAGCCCACAAAAGTCTCTCGCATTTATGACACAAGTATACCATGGTAACCCCGTCAATATTCAACTACACCCAGTTACCGCATTTAGTGTCATGCACACGATTTCGGTGTGGGCCCACCGCCTTAGAGCTACACATACTGTATTAGTGTAAGTTACACTATTTGCTCTGTTACGCTATTCACTGCTGAACTTTTGTAATGTAAGTGTCGTGGGCACTGTACAGCGAGGACAGCGCTAGCCCTAAGCGACTGGCAGTGTCCGCGGCGGTGCGCCGCCGGTCCCAAAATTACAAAGGGGAATTACCGGGTACTTAAATCAAGGGGAAATTAAAGGGACTAGAAATCCGGGGGATACTCACGCACTCACGAGACAAGACCCCCGGTGGCTTTTGTGGCCTTTCGCTTGGCCTCGCTCGATCACCTCCGTTGTGCTCCCTCCGCTGCGCACGTTCAGGGAAACCGAGCCTCAGCTTCCGCTCGAGACTATCATTCCTACCACAGTTATGGGCCCAGGGAGTGGTTCGGCCCGCGATCGCGAGAGCCGTTAAGACCCTCCCTTCTTCTATCCGGATGGAGATCTTAAGGATTGGCGGCGGAAAATCGCTCGCTGGGTAGACCTTATAAAGTCTGCCACTGAGCGTGGCACGGATCGCGTGTACGCCACGGTGTACGCCACCCTTGGGCGCCAGCTCTATGAGCATGGCTTGCCCAGTGCTCAACAGTCAATTGTTGACGAAGCACAGGCAGCAAGAACGATCGATTTTAAACAAAACGATCAAGTCGCAGCCGTTCGAGACATTGTGAATCTCATCGCCATTGACTCCCCGATTTCTATGGTATCAAGGCTGATAAACTCGTTTCACAAGGTATCAACCTGCCGCCGGAAGAAGAACGAAGATCTCTCTGTTTTCGTGTCACGGTTCCGAGGACTGGCTGCGGAGCATCTTATGCATTCCAACGCTTCGACGTCTTCCCAGATTGGTGAAGTCCTGGCAATCACTTTGTTGAACAATGCCAACCTCGAAGAGGGCACTCTGACTAATGCCAAGCTGCAGTTAATTTCGTTGGCTGAAGCTCGGGCTGTCGAAGTGAATCCGCCAACAACGAGGTCGTTCTCAACCAAAGATCTCGACGAATTCAAGTCTGTTATTGAGAGCGCAGGAGAGCTCCAAGGTCCGTTGCACTTCCGTACAGACGATGAAAATGGTCTACAGAATGCCCTCCGTAAGTACCGCTCTCAAGCACGAGCGACAGGAAAGAAAATCTAGGACGCATTTCAGAAACTGTACACCAATCCGCAGGAAGATGAAACGCCTAATAATTCCGTAGCGGGTATCATCTTGTCCAAGGCGAAGCCTTGCAAGCTTCACTTAGATGACGCCGTTTCTGTCCTTGGAAACTTGACCCTCACATCAACACAAGGTCCCTCGATGAGCATGAAGGACGTTGAAAGCCTCGTGCAGCGCAACGTTCGACAAGCACTTCTCGCTGTAGGGCATAAGGCTTCTGGAGCTGTATCCGACAACTTCGCCTATAATGACTTCGTACGCAATGGAGCTCGTGGACGTAGTCGGAACCCGCCCAGAGGAAGACGTAAGCGCCCTCACGAAGAAGTAGGAACCCGCTCCTACAGGACCGCCTGTGCGGAGTGTATTGAGCAGGGACACCTCCGTGGTGATCTGCGCTGCTCAGCGTCCGACCATCACGCGAAAAGACGAAGAACCACTGGGAACGACCGTTTCCGGAACACTGGGAACGAGTACAAATCTCCTGCTTTTTTTCGTCCAGGCTCCCGTCTGGGACGCAGAGACAACTAAGTCTCGTTTCCAGGCGGGGAGCCAAGTCCGACGTCTTCTCCTCACGTGAGGACCCCAATCCAATTTTAGACGTTGGCTGTCCGAGGAGTGTCGGCGGCATCCAATCCGCGGCTACACTCTGCGTGAAAACGGGAATAAAGCTATCCATTCGTCCGCACGATTGCAAACCATTCTATCACGGGTATGGAATGGAGTGTAGCAAAGCCGAGCTTGTGGTTGCCATATGAGATATGCCTGTTACGGACATGTACGGGACAAACATAACAATTCGGTTCTACGTCACAAAAGGAATTGGCTTCCTCCTTCTCGGCAACGAAGTGCTCCACAAGTCAAGATTGCTCGGACCAGAGAACGCCCTTGTCATACCACCTGGAGTGTGCGGCCTCTCACAGAAAGAGGTCGTGCTTCAGACATATAGTGAACAAATCTCCCCGGAAGATAAAGGCGCCAAGAGAACGTACTTGTTCGTGGTACCTTCAAAGACTTCGTCTTTCGAAACGTACTTCGCATCTTTGCGCTCCCTCATGTCGAGGCAAATGGGGCATCGTTTCGGAAGAACCAAGTTTATGGACGGAAAGGTGGCAAAGAGGTTTGCGCTCAAGCTTCATGGCTCTTCCCACTTGCCCCTTGACGATATGCTCGAGTTATGCAAACGAGGATCTATCCTCTCCTCAGTTCTTAGGCAAGCCCTCACCACTGTTGCATCGAAATGTACGTCTTGCAAGAGCACCGGAAGACCTTCCAACTTGAGAAAGGTCTCTTTCGGAAAGCTCCTCTCATCTTTCAACGACCACGTTCAGCTAGACTACATGTACATCACAGAGCTGGGTAATCAGCCCATACTCCACATCGTCGATGTACACACCGGGCTTTCCGTTACCTCACTCATGACTACACGAGAGATGGACGAGGCATCCCGTGTGTTCGATAACAAGTGGTGTGATGTACACGGTCCTCCAGCTGTTGTATCATCTGACCCTGAGTTCAATAACTCCGTGTTCAAGGGCTTTTTGCAGTATGCAGGGGTCAAATTCCAGCCCCGTCCTGCTCGAAGACACAACAAGCTTGGGGTGGTTGAGAGCAAGAATGCGGTGGTCCGATTGATAGCCCAAAGGATGACCAAAGATGCACAGTTCTTCATGCAGACTCGCAACGTGGAAGTGGAGAAGTCCGACGTTCTTTCCCGTGCAACATATGTGAGCAACATATTGTACGGTAGCAAGAGAATGAGCAGCTTTGAACTCGCTAGGGGCTGTACTCCTTCCATCGCTGGACTCCCAAAAAGTGTTGTGACCGACCAAATAATCGCTGCTCACGAAGAGCAAGTTGCCCGTCGGGCCCTCTTGATGCTTGACAAGGGCCGGTCACCCAACACCGTCCTTCCCGAAGACCTTCGACGTGACGTTCTCGTCTACTACTTCAAACGCAACGTCAAGTTTGGCAAATGGGAATCCGGGTATGTACGTGCAGTCGAGCCGCACATGGTTAATGTCTCAAATAACCCGGAACATCGTGGAAAGCCAATTCGGGCTGCGTATGAAGATGTGCGCATAGCTCCACGGTCACCCTTGCTGTTGGATCTGAACCAGATTGGTTACGTTTTCCCCCGGTCGTACGCCGTCGTTGATACGGATGACACTGAGGTAGCGATGAACCAGCATCAAACCGACAACGCCGAGTCCCGGAGTCAAGTTTTGCCGACCGAGGATGATCTCCCAGCAAGCTTTCCGTGGGAAGAGGGGAAACGACGTCCGCCCTCCTCTACACGATGACATTCTTGAGATCAGAAAAGACGGAGAGGACTCAAGAGTACATGCTGATGAAGATGTCGCAAGGTACTTCGAAGAACAGCCTGCATTCTTTGCGAATACTAAGAAGTCTCCAAGCTCACGCAACCTTGAGAGACCCCTGCAGGAAGAAGTCACTCCTTCAGATCCGGCAAGGCAACAGGGCACTCTCAACAAACCGTTTGACCCACCTCGTCCCGAGAAAGACATCGGTGAGGTGAGAGTCACGCCTCCCCCGGAGCTGCCGTTTGAACTCCAGTCCATGGAGCAGGACGTCCTGCGACAAGTAAAAGGGATCATCGGAAATAAAACTGCTTCGGAATTTCAACTGCAGTTCGTGCCCCGATGGCTGCTTGACAAAGCCATAGCTGCAGAGAAGAATAACTACGACGGTGCCTTTGAAGAAGTCAGGTTGAGTTCCATCCCTAGAGGTGCCAACATTATATCATCGCATCATTTCTTCCAAGTGAAGACCGATGGGGAAGAGGACAAACTCCGGCTGAAGTGTCGAATGGTGCCCCACGGCAACCGCGACAAAGATAAGGAGAGTGTCCGGAAGGATTCTGCAACGGCACAATTCCCAGTGATCCGACTGGTGTTGTCCATCGCCGCCGTCTTGAACATGGTCATAGCCACAATCGACATTAAGGGTGCATACCTACAGGGAGGTTACCTTTCTCGAGACATCTATGTTCGACCACCAAAAGGTTGGGCGGCCCGAGGGATTCTGTGGCGACTTCTCAAGCCCGCCTATGGAATCGTCGAGTCTGGAAGACTCTGGCAGCTGACCATAGAAGGTTGGATGTCTCGGCAAGACATTGTACCCATCCCTGGTATGCTACAACTCTTCATGAAGTTCGGCGATGGAGGTAATATTTCTCTTGCTATTTGCAAGGTCGTGGATGATTTCCTGGTAGTCGGTTCACCAAGAGAAGTCAACGACTTCCATGCTGCCCTTGCAAAACGATTTGAAGTTGGCCGGTTCGTCGTTGACCGCCCGCTAATCTTCAATTGCCTCCACATTTCGCAAGGCCCTGATGGTACAGTGCACATCGATATGAAAGAGTACATGAAGAAAATCGAGTTTCCGGCGCTGTCTCGGGAACGGAAAAAGCAGTTCCACGAAAGAGCCACCCCGGAAGAACTCACGTCGTACCTTGGCTTGGCAGGATCACTCAACTTCCTTGGTCATGGTGTCCTCCCGCAGGCTTCTTTTGCAGCAAGCTACCTCCAGCAAGCTGTAGGCAACCTAAGAGTCTCTGACTTGGTTAACGGCAGTAAGGTTCTGAACGAACTGCGG